AACCTTGCCTGGCACAAGTTGAGGCCATTTCCTCCAGTCCTATTGCTAGTTACATGGGAGAGCAGACCAGCCCCCACCTCGCCACAGCCTCTCTCAGGCAGTTGTAGATAGCAATAAGATCTCCTGTGGTGCTCATCTTCTCCAGACTGAACAATCCCAGCTCCCTCAGCTGCTCCTCATAGGACTTGTGCTCCAGACCCCTCACCAGCTTTGTTGCCCTTCTTTGGTCTCACTCCAGGTCCTCAATGTCTTCTTGTAGCGAGGGGCCCAAAACTGAACACGGTGTTCAAGTTGTCTCCTCACTAGTGCCGAGTATGGAGGGAAATCCTCAGTTACTTGGAGTTGTTGTCATCAGTTCACAGCTGAAATGGCACAGTAGAAATGGAGCTCTGGGTCTTGTGCTTTGGAAGGCTCTGTTTCTTTAAGTTTTTGATATGAGTAGACATAGGAAACCTGAAGTGATTTATTTGGAAAAATGGAGTGCTGTGTGTGTATGTTTTTTGCACGGTATTCAGCTGCTGTCTTCTAAGAACTTGCTAAAAATGTGCTCATTTAAATAAGACAAGTTATAACTTCTTTACTGTAAAGGTCTTGAAGGTCATCGTTGGACTTTATGCGTCTCTGCCCACAGCACAGGGTTGGAACTAGGTGATCTTTAAGGTCCCTTCCAACTCAAGCCTTTCTAGGTCTGCATGTGTGTACTACATTTAAAAGCGGATGAGTAGATGTAATTTTATTTTTTAGTGGAGAATGTGAGGAAAATGGACTTTCTCTGGGTGTTTTTGGGCATGTCATGTGCTGGCTGCAGGTGTCTGCTGGTCATTGAGAGATTATTTTCAGGATGTGAGGTTCGGAGAGCTGTACTGTTGCTGCTAGAGTTATGCTTGCAGAGTGCTGCCCACTGCAGTTTTCAGGTCAGTTGGGTACAGTTTGGGGGATTGGGTGGGCTAGTTTGTTTGTGCTATCAGAAATTATAAATGAGTAGTATGGACTATAAATGGCTGTGATTCTTATGACTGAGTTTAAGGCATTCAGGTCACATGGCCAAACATTCCCAACTCCTAATTAGGATGTTGTCATAAAACATTGGGTGCTTGCTGCTAAGTATGCGTTATATCAAAACAGGAATTTGAAGGGAACACTTTCCTGCAATGTTTCCACTATGAATAACTAGGTTTTGTCACTTTGAAAGCTCCTATGCTAAGATAGAAAAATAGAAAGCATTTGTTAGAACTGAATTGCTGTTTTCTTAACACGATGTAGGAAGTGTAGCATAAGCTTCAGCATAAGTTTGATTTTTAAATCACCTGATGCAGACTGTAGTCTTATTAATTGTAAGACTATTAAACCATTTCAGGTTAACCAAAATAAGCCATATGTAAGCCAGCCATACACATCTACTAATTGCTTTAAATTGATTAAACTTATGGAAGCTTTACGTACAGTTGAAGCCTGTCTCTGTGTAATGCTGTGCATGTTAAATTTTCGGGAAGCTATGTGACATAAAAATGCATGTTTAAATTGGCTTTGACATTTGCCATGTGTTACTTTTTTCAGTTGGTTGTGCTGCCTTTAGCTTTTGAAAATGATTGTGAGGAAGATTCCTCACAACGTGCAAGGGCTGTAATCTTAGCTTTGTGAAGGCTCTTGCTCTGATCAGTGTAGGATGCATTTTCTTGCACACACCTGCAGGCTGTGATTGATACTGAGACTCATCGAGCTTCCATCTGCAGTCTGTTCATGTGTTTATGCTTGGCCTGCAGTTGGGTGCTCAGTTTTCAGGAGCATGGCTGTGCAGTATTTGTGCAATCTCCCCCCTCTTTGTGTATAGCGTATTTAGCATGTGTTGGGAGTTCTCCATCTTTTTGTCTCGGAAATATTTTTAGTCACCTAGATGTATGGAAGAATGTGTGTCCTCTGTCATATGCATAGAGATTCTCTGGAGCTGGTCTTCATGTGATTTATTGAAACTAGAAGAATGAAATTGAAATCGCCAGGTCGGTTTTGTGTTCAAGCTTCTCAGAGCACTTCCAACTGAGGGAGATAGGCCACCTGTATCAACACGAGGCGTCTGCTCTTTGGGTGTTTCAGTGCACTTGATTCTGCGTAGCTCTGTCAGGCACTGGGTTGCTCAGTAGCTAGCTTTCAGAAGTGTAACACTGTCACATTAATCAGAGGAATATTTTTGTGTATACTAAGTTGCCTAGGTGAAATGTGTGGGACATGTTAATGATTTCAAACTGTGCCAGGCCGTAACTGCTAAAAAGAAGGTAAGAGTTTATCAGAGCAACTAAAATTACCTGGAATTAGGTTGCTTTATGGTGTTGCTCTGTTTCTGTAGAGTCCTACTCTTTTATTAGTGGATGAAGTCAACAGTGTAAGTGGGCAGACCATAACATATAGCTTATATTTAAGTTGGTGGATGAAGAGCAGGATTTTTTTGTTGTTAGTATTTGGAATTTTCAATTTAGGATTAGAGCAATGATCGGACAGTCTCTTTTGTTGCAATACAATATGTAAATTGATTGCTAAATAGAGTATCTTGTAAGCTGTTGAAGCCGTGTCTAGCAGTTGAGACTACTAGATAGTAGTAGTGAAAGTTGTGTGTAGTTTCAGCAAATATAAAGGGTGCTCCAAAAGTAATGCAGCCTATTTCATTTTGTTGTCCCACACCATCAGAGGCAGACGTTGGTGGTTTGGCAGTAGAGGTGGAACCTTCCTGACAGTGCCCCAGTACGTGCTGTTGGTGTGTAACAGATGGCAGCAGAGGGGCACTCTGACAGGATGGCGTCTGAAATGGAAATGTGTGTAAAGCAAAGGTGTGTCACTGAATTCCTCCATGCAGAAAAAATGGCACCCACTGACATTTATTGATGTTTGCTGAACGTTTCTGGAGACCAAACAGTGGGTGTGAGCACAGTCAGGTGTGGCTGGTGTGTTACAGCTGTGGCTGCAGCAATGTGAGAGACAAGTCGTGTTCCACACAGCGGTGCACGGCTGTCACGTCACAGAATGAAGGGCGTCTCGATCAGTTCACCTGCATGAATCAGCATGTTATGGCAAGGGAGCTGTGTACAGAGCCGACTGTTGGCTCCAATGTGCTGGAAACAATGGTGGTAAAGTTGTCTTCCCACAGAGTTTGCGCCACGTGTGTCCCATGAATGCTCACGTAGGAACTCCATAGGCAACTTTGTCAGGACCTACTGAGCTGATATGAGGCCGATGGTGACAGTTTCCTGGATTTTATCATTACTGGTGATTAGATGTGGTGCCATTGCCACGAGCCAGAGTCAAAATGGTGTCCATGGTGTGGCAACATGTGAATTCCCCATCAAAGAAGAAGATCGGGCTGCAGTTCTCACACGATAAAGTGATGTGCACCATCTTTGGGATAGGAAGGGCCTGGTCCCTCTGGATTTCCTGGAACCTAGATAAACCACCAGCTCGGACCACTGCATCACAATTCTAACTAAGCTGAAGGCTTGAACTTCCAGAGCCAGGCCGGAGAAGAAGATATCTTTTTCTTCCAACACAGTAATGCCGGGCCTCACACCAGTTTGAAGGCTCTGGAGCACACTGCCAGTCTTGGCTGGACTGTCCTACCACACCCACCATAAAGTTTGGGTTTGGCTGCTTTTAACTTCCGTTTGTGTTGATGAAGGACAACGTTTTCCCAGCAGTGGTGCCATTAGAGCAGCAGTGAAGCAGTGGGTTTCTGCTGCTGCAGATGTTTATGAGGATGGGGCGCTGGCTGTTGTTCATTGCTGGTGAAAACACGTAGCTAGTGGTGGTGATTGTGTTGAAAAATAGCTTTGTAGCTGAGAATGTTTCTATCAGATAGTGTTACTGTGCTCTTAGTATCTGTAGTTTGCATGGAAATAAATAGGAGGCATTACTTTCAAAGCAGCCTATATGCTTTATTGAGAACTGAGCTTTTCCTGCAGCCGAACATCAGAATGCCTGCAGTCAGTATTTGGCCTGTCGCTGTGTCTCTGAGAGTTTGATACAAAGTTTTTCTTCCAGAAAGACTTGCAAGCGCTTGTGTTTTATCTGTGTGGGGAGGTCTATTAGGCATGATTTATATTCAGGAGTGCGATTTTTCAGTATTCCTGTCTGGCAGAATAATATGGGCATGCTTCTAAGTGTAAAAGTAGTTGCAGATCAGCTTCTCTAGAAATGACCAAATCAAGAGACAGAGGATACGGAATTTTCCTACTTTCACCCATGAAGTTGAAGCAGAGGACTCTATTTCTCATATTCTATTCATACTTGTCTTTTTTTTTTCCCCATTTAGCATTTGTTCATTGTATGTCATCGATCTATCGTGTTTACCATATGCAGTTATATGATTAAACTAGGTTTTGGAAACTTAATTTGGAGATTACCCGCTTCAAGATAATCTGAAGCAAATTAAAGACCCAAACTCAAAAAAACAAAGCCTTTCTTTAAATCTGCCTGTAAGAGAGGAATGAGTTGATTATGACTTGAATAACTTACAGTTAAAAGTGTGGTTTTCTTTTTGTTCCATTCCTTCGGTGTGCTGAAGTAATGTGATCACATTTATAACTTTGAATGGGGTTGAAGGATGGTTATGCATATTCAGCCACTGCTAATGGATGTTGTAATAGCACGAGTGGAAACGGTTAATTCTCTTTCTGGGCTTAGTCAGAAAAAGTTAAACTTTGTCCGATCTTGTCTTATCAAGTTTCTAAAGCTTGATCTAAACAAAAAAGTTCCGCATGTGCCTTTTATTGTTTTACCTATTCAGTATTGCCACAAAGGCAGCATTTGCAGCCATCTTCTTCTTACTTCTCACACTGGCTTAACCACTAGTAAATATCTAACTAGTCATGAAAACTTTATGGCACGAATAGTTGGGAAGCATTTGTTTACATAAGGTAAAGAGAGGGTGTTACGGTAAAGCATATTAGCTTTTTACACTGATACAGTTATACGCATTAACACTGAACACTTCCAGTCCAAAGAAGACAAAGCTTGCACTTAGACGATGTGATTTGAAACGTGGGAGTTAAACACTGCTACAGATGGCTCAGAAATTACTGGCTACTTCATGAAAGGAAGACTTTAAATTCAGGATTATCCGTATGTGCAGTGAATCATTTATTCTTAAGATTTTTTCTAGGTCTATCAAGCAGCTTAGTAAAACAGAGTTCCTGTAATGTGTTTCCTGTTATGCACAAGTCCTGGAAATGCTGAATTCTGACTTCACAGTTGCTGACAGGGTTACTTTCATTTCCACGAGAAAATCGTTGCAGATAGTGCTCTGTGGAGGGAAGTGGAATGGTTGATTGCATGGGGTTCTATGGCTGCAGTTTACTTTGTATACAATTGCTCAGTTGTGGCTCCTTGTTATGGGTTTAAGCAAAGCGTTTCCTTGTATTTGGAGTCTCGCTTTCTCTTACAGCTTACTGTGAAGAGACAGCTATGCTCTATCTAAGAGAGCTCTCTTATGGCAGCATAAAATGAGAAACCAACAAGAACACCAGCTTCTGAGGAGAGAGTTCTGTTAGCTTGGAGGTGAAAGAAGTAAACTTTCACCTAATTAAATGGGGTAATTAGATGGGGTAGTTAAGTGGGGTCTGTATGAATAGAGGACCACTTTGATTTCACATTGTCCTACACAGTTTTGTGGTTATCTTCTTTTGAGAAACAATGGGGTCATTCTCCACAGATGGTATTTTACTCCCAAAATGAAATTCAGAATAGTTTTCAGACTGATCTGGAACTCTTTTGCACATGGTCTGAAAAAATGTATTGCACATGACAAAAGAGTTTCCCCTTTTTTTGAGGTCTATCTCGTAGAGGAATCTGCCTCTGATTTGATGGACAGTCTGTCTTAGCAGTGGGTGAGTGTCATTGCTTCTGAGCAGAAGTCACGACTCCTTCTGCTGTCTGTTGCGTTTATTTGTTTTCAAGACAGTTCAAGCTGGGATTCTACTGACCCTAGCTATTACTGTTGGCATCAGGAAGGAGCAGGTGGAAACATTTAATGAAGAAGAATTGGCTATACGTACAGTTTTATGCAACATCTGCGCGGGTTGTTAAGGAAAAGCAAGCAAAGCGGAAACACTGTTGATGGCATGTATATGTGTGTATGCATGTAAGCATGTGGAGCATACATCCTTAGATTTTTGTTAACTGAGATACATTTGTTTCCTGTTAGCAGCAGCATACACCTCCATTCTAAGCACAGAACTTTTGCTGTAATGCTCAGCACGTGAATATTCAGGCTCCATTCTTAAAAAGAGCCACTAAGTGAAGCGGCTGTGGATAGGTCTTACAGCTTTCCTAAGGAGAACAATGTCTTCTCTATTCACTGAGATAGCATTCTTTATGTCACAGAGGTAAGAGTATGTCTGCAGATATAGTTAAAAGATATTATAATTAGAGAATTGTCTTCAGGTTAACTTTCAGAAGTCTTGAATATATCACTTATAATTAATCTAGCAGTTTCAAAGTCTAGGTGTTTGTGCTTATTGGTGGAGCCTGATATTGGTAAGACTTGCTGCGCCTGTATTTGCAAGTGGAAACATCTTTTGCTGTGTTTGACTTAAACCACATAGGACCTAGTCCTCCAAGGAGCCTGCTTTGGACTTGCTGCTTCTTTTAAACGATAGTAAACTTTTCATATAGACTCTTAGCCTCTGATGACTATTTATAATGCATAAAAGATGTGGCTTTTTTTTTTTTTTTTTAATTTAGGAAACTATTACTGTTTTCTGTTGTGCTGTCAACTATTCATCATGAGAGCAGGAACTGAATGAGGACTGATTAGAAGCCTTTATTTAAGTGGAAAAACGAGTTTCCTCGCGTCTGTAGTTTAAACTTTATTTACACTTAGGGAGCAAGTTCCTGATGGAAATTGGTTATTCTGGATCATGCAATTCTGCAAAGGTTGCAAAGTTTTATTTTTGATAGATTGTCAGCACTCAGGAAAGCTGCAGCCAAAGGTAGGGTCATGGCTGTGCTACCCTTCCTGTATTTCTAAACTCGCAGGAAATTTATGGAGTTGCAGTATAGGAAAGATGAAAAACATTGTGAACAGCTGTACTTAAATGTTAAGCAGCAGTCTGTGCAGCACCTTTTGTTCAGTTTGTTGGTTTAGGTAGGAGGAAGGCATTAAAAGGAAAGAGAAAACATGCCATCACGGACGAATTCCTGCATGATGTCTTCTGGAGAATGTGCTTAGTACTTATTCATAAATGCTTACCTCCAAGTTTAGCATTATAACTGTTAAATTAGAATTTTGTTTTGTATTCTAATTGGAAATATCGACAAGATCTTAATTACAGAGGTATTCCAGCATTTTTGTAATGTGATGGCGTTCATTGGGATTTAGGTTTTGTAAATGCTCTAAGCTAATAAAGTACATATTAGTGTGCCAGTAATCAGAATTCTTCTGAGCTTCAAACTGCAAGAAAACGTAGTTAGATAAGGGTGAAACTGTTTACTTCTTGCAGGTGCGGGTATCTGGCTTCCTCAAAACTAATTAGCTTGTTTCCAGTTCTTAGTTGCGTTCCACAAGCACAAAGCATTTAAAAACCTGTCTGTGTAGTGCTTTATCTCTTACCATTAGTTACTCCAAACAGTTTAATAAATTGCTGTGATTAGGCTGGTACTTGAAGAGCACATTTTCAAAAATGTCACATTTCCTACTAGCTGCTGTTCCTGACCTTTTGTTTTTCTAACTTAAAAAAAGACACTCTATACATGGCTCTTAAAGTTGGTTATATTTTTTGAGTTCTCTCTTCTGCTTGCACTTTTCAGAGACTTCTCTAATTGCATTTATGCTAAACTGATCTGCATTTTGATGAACATTTTCAGGTTACAGTTTACTGAAGCCTTAGGAACAGTCGTTTTGTACGTGTTTATTCTTGTTGCTTCCTTGGCTTTTGCTTGTTTCCCCCAGTGCTTGGAAGAAGTAAGCAAAAAATCCCAACTAGTAATCTGAATGAAATTACCTTTCAGTCATTTGCTGACTGTGAATCTGTGTAAATGTTTGGTGTCCTTTACGAGAACCTGCTGTGTTAATGATAAGATTGATGTGTGATCCGGTGCCATTGAGGCTGCTCAGACGTGGGCCTGCTGCTGCAAGGCTCCTCCGTCTGCCTGCGGCTGCTGCCACTTGCTCAGGCTGCCTGCTCCCCACTGCTGCCTCCTCACTCCTACTTTTTCTGCGACAGCGCAGCTGATCACATCCTCCTCATGATCTGCATCACCGACCTTTATTTTTAGTTGCCAGCTTTATTTTTCAGCTGCATAACTTCCCTGGTCTTAAGACTGCACTGATTTTGTTTCTGAACAAAAAGTACAGAAAAGATGGGAGAGATTTATGACCAGATCATGGGCTCCCTTTACTGGAAATATAGAGCTTCTGTTGAGAAAAGTCCAGGATTTTAGTTCAATCCTTCTTTCCTTTCCACTCTAAACATGCACGCAGCATTCCCAAGGGCATACTACTGTGTTTTTAGCAGCAGTGATATGGATCTGAGGCATTTGGGAGGGAGGAGGGGAATGGATAGTTGACAGGAAAAGTCTTATAGCTTCTGTGCTATTTTACCATGCCTTGCCTCGCCTTCCTTTTAATTCCTATTGTTGCTTTCTCCTGCTCAGGGGAAGTTCACTTAGTGCCAAAGGCGAAAAGCTGGCTCAGTTTACTAATCAGTGTTTAGGGCAGTGTCTCAGTTCTAACAGTGAGATATGTCTTATTGAGTGGAAAATAATTTAAATTTTAAAACTAAGCCTAAGGCAAAGAGAAGATATCCCTAAAATTGAAGAAATTTGTTATTTTTACTCATTTTTACAAAACAAACAAAAACCTACAATGTGTGAAGAATTAAATAGGTGGAATACCGTGTGATCCCAAAGTCTGAATTCTAGTTCTTGGGAAAATAATAAAGATATGGGAGAATGAAGAGGATGCACAGTGTCAAGTATGTGTTTGATAAGATGGGAGTCAAAAGAGTACAAGACCTCTAGAAATAGAGAAAGGCTTTGAATACAGCCTAGAAATATTGGATAAAAGAGTTGTCATTAGAAAGGTTGTAGAGGCTGCTGAGGTTAATTTTGTTCATTTTACATGTGAGGGATTGAAAAGAACTAGCAACAGTTGGTAAGAAGCTGAACTGTTACAAATCATTCAGAAATCATCTGTTAATGAACCATGCCGAGTTGTTAAAATACACAGGTTCTATGCTTACATTCTGTGATTGCTTTAGCATTTTATGATTCATGGTTCTGCTTTCTTTTTATTAACCTTCAGGGGGAAAGGAACAATGGCTTTGACGTTCTCTATCATAACATGAAGCATGGACATTTGTCAACAAAAGAATTAGCAGACTTTATTAGAGAAAGGTAGGTATTCATCCTTGCTGATTCTGGGTCTTTATTATGTGGTTTGTGGCTTTCAATTCAGTTTGTCATTACCTGTTGTTTTTGACAGTGGATATTAGAACTAGATTTTTGGCATTTGCTGGTATGATCTTAAAAAATTGTCCTTCCAGGATTACAGTGCTAAGAAAGTAAATTCTATTCCCCTTCCTCTTCCCCTTCCCTTCTCCTTCATTCTTTTTTGTTTTTTTTCTTTGAAGCGGTGATATATTATGATAAGAAAATATATGCAGAAAATAAAACAGATTCTTCTTTATGGGACAGAAGGGACAGGAATGAAATCTGCCCATGTGACAACTTCCTAAACAGATGAGCTAATGCTGTTTTCAGTCTTATTTTACAAAGAAGACTAGCGACTGCTACTTAGGATACAAAAATTTCCATTCTGGAGGATCTGTCTGGTTCCAAATGTTGTCTTATTCAGTTACTGACACCAGATGGCATGTGGAAAAATCTTGTAAGAGGCTAGCTGAGAACTTCTTTTAGTAAAGGTTTCTTGCAGTAAGAGCTGTCCAAAATACATCCTTTGTTTTCTGCAATTTGTCATCAAAATTCCAATTTCTGCCTGAAGTGACTGCAGAGAAATGTCACCACTGTGCATCTGGCAGGTACGTAGTGACAATGATATTTGCATAGTTTCACAGTGAGTTGTGGAGAAAATGACAAAAGACTTTCTGCTAAGAAGAAATCAGTGAACTTCCAAGGCCTTTTGTGAAGCTCCTGACCAAAGCTGTACACAAACCAAGGAATTTTGTGTGTTGAGAACCTCTTCATTCAGAAAATACATTATAAAGCCAGGGTTGTGGTGCAGCCTTACTTTAGAGAGATGTCAAACTGTGCTAATCATAGAATCATCATAGAATGGTCTAGGTTGGAACATACCTTTAAGATCAGCTAGTTCTAAACTGCTGCTATAGGCTGGAACACCTCTATAGACCAGGTTGCTCAGAGCCTCATCCAACCTGGCCTTTAATGCTTCCAGTGATGGGGCATCCACAGCCTCACTGGGCAACCTGTTCCAGTGTCTCACTACCCTCACAATAAGGAATTTCTTTTTGATAACTGGTCAATACCTACCCTCTTCCATTTTAAGGTCATTTCTCCTTGTCCTGCTACAGCATACCCTTATGAAAAGTCCCTCCCCAGCTTTCCTGTAGGCCCCCTTCAGGTACTGGAAGGCTGTTATGAGGTCTCCCGGAACTTTCTCTTCTCCAGGCTGAAGAATACCGGCTCTCTCAGTCTGTCCTCGTAGGGGAGGTGCTCCAGCCTTCTGATCATCTTTGTGGTCTTCCTCTGGACCTGTTCCAACAGCTCCATGTCCTCTTCTGTGTATTGTGGGCCCCAGAGCTGGACACAGTACTCCAGGTGGGGTCTCACTGCATAGTAGAGGGGCAGAATCACCTCCCTCAACCTGTTGGTCACACTTCTCTTGATGCAGCCCAGGATGCAATTGGCTTTATGGGCTGTAGGAGCACGTTTCTGGCTCATGTTACATTTTTCATCAACCAACACCTCCAACTCCTTCTCCTCAGATCTGCTCTCAAGCCATTTCCCACCCAAACTGGATTTGTGCTTGAGAGTACCCCAACATAGGTGCAGGATCTCGCACTTGGTGTTGTTGAACTTAATGAGGTTGGCATGGGCCCTCCTCTCAAGCCTGTCCAGATCACTCTGGATGACATCCCTTCTCCCTAGTGTGTCACCTGTACCATTCAGCTTGGTGTCATCTGCAGACTTGCTGAGTGTGCACTCAGTGTCACTTAAAGGATATTGAAAAGTATCCCTGAGGAGCACCACTTGTCACCAGTCTTCGCTTGGACCTCGAGCCACTGACCACAACTGTCTGAGTTTAACCATCCAACCAATTCCTTTTCCAGCAAGTGGTCTGTTCATTGAAATCCGTTTGATCTAGCTACCAGGATGTCATGCAGGACAATGTTAAAAGCTTTGCACAAGTGCAGGTATATGATGTCAGTTGCTCTTCCACTGTCTGCTTATGCTTAGTATTAAATGTTTAGAGAGCCTGAAACTAAAATTTATGACATCTTCAGTCTACCTATGTGAAATGTTTTTCCTGTGAATTTACTAAAAATCATTCTTTTCTTTCTAAACTTCTTACCTTGCTTATATTCTGTGTCTTTCTTTGTTGCAAAGTAGTTAAGAGATTTTGCATAGAATTATCTATTCCCTCCCTTCCTCTGCAGAATATAGGGTATTGCTTCACTGTTATCTTTTCTGCTAAAAATATGAAGACAGATGGGCAACAGTCATTAGGTGCCTTCTGCACGTCGTGTTTTTATGCCTTGCTTGCACCTGATTTTCTGGGCTCTTCCCTATGAAAACTGAACTTATACGTTTGTACTCTCTCCCTCCTTTTGAACATATTAGCCAGTTTTATTCAAATGTGGAGAGACAGGAGTATGAAAACTGAAAATTCCTGGGTAATTCACAGATTGTGAATTACTGATGATACTTGTAATAACTTAAGTAGCTGACTGTTGTAAATATGTTAGAAATGTGCTCATTTCAAGGAATATGTATTTACTGTATCTGCTGTTAAAACCCTGTACGTTCCTAGGAACAAAATGTTTCCACCTTTGCTGGTTCCTGGACTGGTGAGACACACTGGAAACTACTAAGACCCATGTGGCTCTTGGACCTCATCCCTGTGGGCACTTCACTCATCATTACAAATGCAACTCCAGGCTTGCTAGGGCTAGATAATTTTTCTAGGCTGTGTTTAGTTTATCTATATTAATTCACTTTTCAACACTGTTGTTTCATGGTTTCATTTTTCCTTTTGAGTATTTATTAGTGATGAAGTTGTTAAAGACTGGGGTCAGTTGGATCTTTGGGCAATTCTTTACTGCCTTTTGACCAAATATTCTGAAAATGTGAATGGGAAAGACTTACGTAATTAACAGTCACTGCTTTTGATGTGGTTCAGAAGTATGTCTGACAGAGTGAACTGTGCGGCAGGCAATCTGCTCACTGCTTCTAAATCTTGGATGGTGCAAGATATATTTCTGCTGAAAGATAAATATCTTTGCTCTATTCTGATAAAGTGCATAAGCGTTTTGCTTTTAAAGAAGTGATAACATACAAAGATTGTGTTGGCCCACAGTTTTCTTTTATATAAAAATACGGATTTTACATGCAGGGAAGATTTGGTAGGTAAATTATCAATGGTGTTTGTGTGTATTTAGCACCTAAGATGTTTACATGTAAGTTCAACTAAGAACTAAATAGGTATTCTGTTGGGTTTTCTTCAGAAGTCTTTCAAATGTTTTTCTGCACCAGCTGTCTATAAATGTAAAAAGAAGCTCCTTAATGGGAAGAAATTGGCAATGCGCCTATTCCCATTTCAGTTTAAATGCTTAAATATATCCCAAGCAAAGACAGATCTTTAAGATGTGAAAATTAATTTAAACAGGCATTCATAGTCTGTTACTGTGAGAGAGAGCTTTAGGAAGTCAGTGGATACAACTGAAGATAAATGTGCCCCATTAGTCAGTAGCATCTTTTGGTTGTTAGCGTTTGTTATGTGCTGATAACACGTAGCAAGTTTCATAACTCCCAGCTTGAGAAGGTTGTTTGCTGAAGTATTCTGCTAGTTGTTCTGAAGGAAAGGAAAGAAAGTAAAAGCACTGAGCTGTTGTTGGTGATTTATCACCATTCATTATAGTAATTAAAAAACCATCAGTACTTCGTTCATGTCTGTATCACTGCTTGTTTCAGTGAGTGAAATTTACCAACATTTTCAGATCATCAAGAATACTTCTTACCAAGAATACTTACATCTACTTACAGGAGGAGATGTTTTATTTCATATGGTGGATACATTCGTAGTTATTTGTGACTGAGATTTAAAATGTAGTCGAATTGCTGCATTTTACAACTTCAGGATGGTTGCCTAACCGTTCAGCTTGTCATTTTAAAGTTCAGTAGATTTAAGTACAGCCTTCAAAGTTTCAGATGACTATTACTATTTTGTTTCATATGTTCGTAATCATTGAATATTGAATTCGGGTGGAAAATTTAAGCAGTGTGTATGTTAACCTTAGTTAATAGGGTGGTGAGGAAAGGTGATGGCAGGAAGACTTGAAAGGAGTCACTGCTGTTACATGTTGGGTGACTACACTCCATGGCAATTGTGCCAGTAAAGGAGGAAATTGATATTGACTCCTGGATTTTGAATCTCCAAAAGACAAGTAAAAATATGGTTATGAGTGCAGGAAAACTGTAGCAAAAATTTTGTAGGGAGGAGGTTGTCCTGAAGAAATCAGAATATGTCGAGATCATTCTTTAAAAAGTAAGCCTAAACAGTGGAACACAGTACATTTTGCTGCATATTAAATCACTGCTTCTCAAATTTAAAAGCCACTCTGCAAAGAACGTAAAAATACAAAAAAAAAAAAAAAAAAAAAAAAAAAAAGCCTCCTAAAACTGTAAAGACAAGATAAGACTCCATTTATGATCAGATGCATTTGATCTTTTTGTTCTGTAAATGTCTAGTGTTAGGCAGGTGATCATTATGTGACTTCGTTCTCTCTGTTACCGAAGAATGTTAAAGACAGGAAGAAACACAGAGGATGTAAGAAGGAAAATGTTATATCTTGCAAGTCTCAGGTCCTTCAATTTTACTTATTTCAGTTCACTTCAATATTCTGTCACAGTGTTCTCAGATTTATTTTTGTTTGTTTGTTTACATACCTGGATGTTTCTGCGTATAGTTTTTGAGGGTTTGTTAAAATGGGGTAATTTTCAGCTGAAGGAGAAACTCCTATGCTTGGAATCTTTAGAATCCATGTTAGTCTGTCTTCAGATACCTTCAGAATTTAAATTATGTTTTTGATCATTTTCTTTGACAGGGCTACAATAGAGGAAGCATATTCAAGATCAATGACAAAACTTGCCAAATCAGCAAGCAATTACACACAGCTAGGGTAAGTGTATATGAAAGACAAATAGTTGTGTACGTGATAAGAAGCCAGTTTGATTCTGAATATTTTATTGATGATGTTGAAGGCAGCACAACTTTGTCACCTTTAAAAATTATTGTTAGTCCTTCAACTACTGTGCAACGATGCAAGATGTTGTGCAGCTGTGACAAGAACAAAACGCAGTGCAGTTCTTTATTCACTGAGGGAAAAAAAAAATTAAAAAGCCCTAACCAGTCATAGAGAGGCTGTTTGCTCCTGTGTGTTCAGGGTTTCCAAGTTAAGTTCTTTTCAGACATAGTAAAGAACTTGACTTAATGTATGCTTCTAAACCAAATAATTTTGATGAGATAAAATTTTGTATTTGAGTTATGTTTTATGAAAGAATAAAATGGAATAATGGATGGGAAGTTTGTTTTTGTTGTTAGAAATATGAGCAATAGCTCAGACTTCCTAGATGAGAGGAAGTTTCTTTTTATTTGTAATAATCAGAGGTAGAATATGGAGTTATCAGAGAACAGTTTGGTGATTTGTTGCTGCTTTTTGAAAGTTCTCTGTCTGCGTTTGAATAGGAACGTCATTGTTTTAAAGGCTATAAAATAGTACCAATTTTGCAGCAACTTTAGTCAGAAAACAGGTAGGTACATTTTACCTTTATTGACTGTATAGAGTAAAAACCAGAAAGTACTGAAGTTGTTAGATACTATGAAGGATGCTCCAAAATTAATGCTTCCTATTTTATCATGCTGGACAATGGCATTGGGGTGGATGTTGGTGGTATGGCAGTAGAGGGCTGAACCTTCCCACCTATATTCTATTAGGTTTTGCTGCTGTGTGATGGATGGCAGCACAGGGGCAATCCGTTGGTGTTCATCAACACATACTGAAGATTTATAGAGACCAAACAGTAGATGTGAGCACAGTGGCTGGGGTGTTTCAGCAGTAGTGGCAGTGGGTCACCGCCGCTGTTGCAGATTTTTGCAAGTGTGGCCTTCAGGCTTTTGTTCATCACTGGTGAAAATGTGTAACTTACTATGGCAACTGTGTTGAAAGAGAGTGTTTTGTAATTTGCCCTCTCAAAAGATGTTTTTGTGCTCCTTGTATCTGTTGTAGTTTCCATGGAAATAAATCGGAAGTGTTACTTTCTGAGTGACCTACTGTACACCTGCAAGATTTAAAAACTACATAATTTATAGCATGTAGTTGTTGTGTTTGCTTCAGTTTAGGAACACAATTTCTGTAAAAATATTCATTATGCTTTAGCATAATGAAAAAATGAAAAAATAATAGAATAAAAATAATGAAAAAATCCCAATGGGCATTAAATTTTTTTTTCTCAACCCAGAACATTTGCACCAGTTTGGGATGTTTTCAAAACCTCAACAGAAAAACTAGCAAGCTGCCACTTGGATCTTGTCCGGAGATTACAAGAGCTAATTAAAGAAGTTCACAAATATGGAGATGAACAAATTAAAGCTTATAAAAAGGTAATGGTTTTTGGGTTTTTTTTCCTTAAGCATGTCCAAAGATTTATAAGCATTGAAATTCAAATTATTTGTTTTTGACAACTGTGTAATATTTGGCAGACTAAGGAAGAAGTTTCAGGAACATTGGAAGCAGTGCAAAACATTCAAAGTATAACTCAGGCATTACAGAAGTCAAAGGAAAACTACAATGCAAAATGTCTTGAACAAGAACGTTTGAAAAAGGAAGGAGCAACACCAAGAGAAATTGATAAGGTAGTTATGTGACGTCTTTCTCAAAATTCATTATGTTGTCAATCTAATACATTCATGTTATATTAGCAAGTAAAATGCTCTGAAAGGGTTAAAAATAGGAAAACTATGATTATTTTATAATGTGAGTACTTTGAATGCCTTTTTATGTTTTGTTTACACTTCCTTATCTGTTCTAACTTCACTGCAGTTCCAATTCTTTATTCTATGATTACCTGCATCATGTAATAATTTTTCTTAGCATCCTTTACAGAAATTGCATATAGTTGTTTCATCATCTTTTACATTCTTGGACACGTTTTCTTAGACAAATATGCAAACTCAATGACTGTAGTTGTTTTTGAATTGAGGAGTAGGAGCCTTTGTGTCCTTTCAACTGAGACCAAGTAGCTAATTATAGAAGTATTTGAAGTCTGTTCCATTGACAAGAAAAAACAAGCTAACGTTACTTTCAGAATTAATTTAAGTTACATGGACCAAAACCCCTAGGGATGAATATCCTGGTGCTGTTTTTAGCTCTGTCCCTGTGTCATGGGAGAGTTTGATCCACACACAGAATCACTGAGCAGTTAAGGTTCAAAGAGACCTCTGAAGTCATCTGATCCAACACTCCTGTTCAAGCAGGGACACCTGGACCCAGTAGCCCAGGACCATGTCTGGATGGCTTTTGAAGATCCCCAAGGAGAGGGTTCCACAATCTCTCTGAGCAACCTGTGCTGGTAGTCTGTCACTCACACAGCGTAGAAGTTTTTTCTGTGTTGCACTTTGTGCCTGTTGCTTCTTGCCCTGTAGCTGGGCACCACTGAAATGAGCCTTGCTCTGTCTGCTTTGCACCCTGCCTTCATATACCCTGTTGAGATCCCATCCCCTTGAGCTTTCTCTTCTGTAGGCTGAGGAGCCGCATCTCTCTCATCCTATCATAGGACAACAGAATGGCTGAGGTTGGAAGGATCCCTTAGCTCCAGTATGTCTTGCACTGAAAGGCCCAGCACTGAACATAGCATTTCAGATGCAGCCTCACCAGTGCCGAGTAGAGGGTGGAGAGCACCTGCAGGGAACAATGAGACTTTTTGCTGTTTTAAGGAGACAAGGTAGTAGTAGACGAAAGTAGTTATGTTTCCCTGTCTCTGTGTCTTCTCTGTTTTTAATCTTGATACCTCTGCCTTTTGCTGTTTCAGCTGTATGATCTGTACGAGAACCTGTTCTTAGTTAAATGATCTCAGTGCCTTTTGTCTGCTATCTTGGTGGAGCAGTAATGTTGGTTCACTGGTGACAAAAATTATCCAGTTGACCATGTTCTGATAGTTTTTAACTCTAATATAAACCTATTTTTTTCTCCTGGTTTGTTTTTTGAATGGCAATCAGTGCTGGAATCTGGATATGAGTAAGCATTGTGTGAGACCGCCGATGTTTTCTTGCAGTCTTTCGAAAACGCATGCAATTGCAAATAAATTGAAATTTTTCAGAAGGAAAAGTTGACTTGATAGAAGGCTTGCTCTTGACATCTAACACTGCAATCCTTTGTCCTGTCAAAAACAATTAAAAAAACAAACAAACAAACAGAAAACCTTGGCTCACTAATGTCTGTTTAGCTGCAGAAGAAAGAAAGAGGAAACATCACAGGAACGAAGACAATTTTCTATTGCTTTGTGCATCTTCCATGAGTACTTCCACCCCCCTCCCCCCAAACAATTAGAGCATGGTTGATACCAGATAAAGCTTCAAAAAAAGTTTCTCCTGGGAACCTGCAACTGTGACTGTCACATTGTCTCTGTCACATCATTATTCAAATTTACTCTTGCAGTTTCAATAACATGATAAGGATTGCTTTCATTTGTTTTTCTTTTGGTAGAAAATAGTTTTATTATGCTTAGCAGTACATGAAAGATGTTTTTATCAAAATGGTACAATAGTCACTTTATTGCAGAGCAGGGAATGTGTGCCAGTATGCCAGGAGCTCATCATAAAGTTTAACACTGAGAGAGATACTTTATTGAAGAATCTAACGAAGATTCTTAAGGCAGAATCTAAAGCTTGCAATTTTGCTGTAACTGGTAGTGGTAGCTTGTGTAATAACTTCCTGTTTTTCTCTGGCATGTTAACTTCTCTGTTTATAGTGACTTGACAAAAAATTATTGACTGATTCTTATTCTTTCAGTTACTGTTAAACTTCTAAATAGAATTCTAGCAATTGCTGTACCTGAGAATTGACACATCCTGTTTTCAGAAAAGATTAGGAGCTAATCATGAAATGTTCACGTGTTTCATCATTTTGTGTGCCTTGCTGAATAATTGTTTTCTATAGGTGCTCTTAAGCACACAAAACACATGATTCTGTTCATAGACAGACAGTATTACCAGAGGCAGGGAATATTTTGCTTGTCTCAAGATCCCAGAGTTCAATTACATAGTACTTTATAGAAAAAACTTCAGAGGTTCCCCAGGTGAACAAATGCTAATGCTGTACTTATAATTTTCAGTTATTTTTCATTGGAAGTTGCAGATGTTGGTATTGATTCGTTAGGAAATTATAGCTAGTGCTCAGCTCTGCAACTCACTGCAAGTGAGTAGTAGTTGCTGTTTATACTCTGGAAGCAATAAAATTCATTTGAAAGAGGATTTCAGAACTTGAATAGTAAACATGCAGTCTTTACTGGCGTCATTAACTGAAAGCGATTTGTGAATTAAAATTAATTAAAATTAGGGAGAAATTTCAGTGCAAAGAAAGGCATTCTGAAAGAAGAAGCCAGCATAAAGGTGATGAGAATAATATTTGGCTTCTAACTTGGAAACTGCAATTTCAAGGGCTCAAAAAACCTTAATCCCATATTATACTATAAACTTTGAAAGTAACTTCTTTTACCAGAACGAATCACTTTGTTGTCTTCCTGTCTATGTAATTCTGGGATTCTCCTATTTTTTCTTTTGTCTTTTAAGAAAATAACGTACACAGACAAGATTTGGTTAATTACCAACAAATGATGGGGAAAAAAAAAAATCAGTACCTTATGAATTCAGAAAGTACTACTTTAAACAAGTCTGAGCTGCATGAGCCTGTCCCATCAGTATATTCTACATAAATTTCATGTTGAAATATCTTCTCTTAATCTGTTCTCATTATTTTTCCACATTCCTTATTTTCCTTCTTTCACTTCTAACAGAGAACTGTACCTTCTAAATAAACAAAGCCAAAAGCATTTGATACCTTCAGAGCTGCCCTAGTAACTGTTTACTCTGAATTTTATCCTGGCTTTCTTCCTGTTTTTCTATATATTTGGCATATCACGTAAATAGTTAATTTCAGTAATACATGTTTTGAAATACTGATTTAAAAGTAAGTGTGCTATAAGTTAGTCTTAGATGATAGGGAGAAAGGATTTAAGTTAGGTAGTTGTTCTGTTGCCTTTCTACATGGCTTATGAGAAGTTTTAAACCAGAAATCTCTAATAGCTTGAATCTACGTTATTTTGTGGTAAAAATTTGTTATGATACTTTAGTGTTTCAATACATCTCAATGTTTTCTTAGATCATCTTAGGCTTTCACTTAATAGTGACATTATAAACCTTGCATTAAATTGTGTATGTGACATTTGACGTTTTTTGTACTAATCTATAGGCAACAGTTAAATCGAAGAAAGCTACAGATACCTATAAACTGTATGTGGAGAAATACGCTGCAGTTAAATCTGATTTTGAACAAAAAATGACAGAAACTGCACAAGTAAGTGTTGTATTAAATGAGGTGCTTTTGAAATAGATTCATATGTTCTGTTTTATCTCTCTGAAGATATCTGAAAGGAAAGCTTTTGAAGAATTGTTTAAAATAAAATGATCTCCTCTGGAAATTGGTGTAAGCTGTACTGTCAAAAGTAATAGGCTTGAAAGACAAACAGTGGCAATGTGTATTTTGATGGAAGTGTTCTTGGATGATGCACTGGAATACTAGCACTCCCGAGAGAATTTCTGAACAAATTTTTAGTGAGAAAAGAAGATGAGCTTCTGAAACTATTGTAGATGCATTGTGATCAGACAGAAAATCCTTTGAATTACTTTGAATTACTGGAATTCATTCATAGGAGTTATAATATTGGGACCAATCATGTTTTTCTCATTATCATTCTGATGAAATATTTTAGTAACTGCTTGATAAAGTAGCCCCTTAGGGGTTTAGCTGAGGTGGTCAAAAACCCTTACTTCATTCCAATATCAAAGAAGTATCTAGAATTTTAAGGAGTTTCACTGTATTACAGAGGATGTTGAGTTCTCTGTATGTTTGCTCTTGCTGCTGCTTGTTAAAATTTCTTCTCCAAATCTCTTGATAGTAGACATTTTTTCACTGTCACAGATTTCAGAAAACATTACTTACCATTTCTGCTCTTAGTTATATTTATTTGACATATATTTACTTGTTTCTTTGTTCTTCTCCCTAGTTTCCAAGTTTAATTTTTAGGCATGGATGAAAATATAAGGGAAGTTAAGTCATATTTGCATTACAAATGTAGAAGTAGAAAAATGTTAGTATTTTCCTGAACTTCTTAGAAATTAAGATTTTACACTAAGAAGATATGTGTATCCTGACATATCAAAAACTCTATTCTTCTAAATTACAAACCACTTTGCTGCTTTGAAAACTTTGTTAGAACTTGCTCTTATTGGTATCTGAATAGTTATTCAACAGATGTTACAGAAAGGATACCAAAGGATACCAGATATATTAGAATTGGTCACTACAACCCACCATCTAAAAAAAGTAAATGAGAAGTAACTCATTCTCTGCTGTTCCAGTGCAAAATCAGTTAAGTTGTCCTAGGCAGTTCAGATAAAATTATTCTGAAAGCACCAGCATCTTGAATTGCTGTAGCTTTGTTCTAGGTAATCAGGTAGTAATGTCCTCACTTAGATGTCCTGTGCTCTTAAGTCAGTCTCCACTAAATTTCTTGTGTAAATTTTATGTATTTTTCCCTTGCGTCATTTATTATCTTTTCTGTTAGTGTAAAAGTGAAGTGACTTGTACTGCATGATTTTGAGAAGTTGAATTGTAAGTTGTATTTTGTGCTGGAATAAACATGGAAGATTGTATTGTGATTGCAAGGGGATAAGAATATGGTTTGGTTTGTCTAGAAATTGGATTTTACAGATATTCTTCATGTTGAAAGATCTTTTTTCTGAGTAAAACTAGTTGTATTAAACAATTGCTCTGCAACTGCAAAGAAAAAATGGCATCTCACCTGCCACCTTGTTAGAAGCTTTTTTTTAAACATTGCATTTTTAAACACTTAAACACGTTGCATAGTCTATGGGAAACAATGAAAATAGCTGGAATTGCTAACTCATTTTTCTTTGACACCCTTCTGTCTTAGCTGGAATTGAATACAGCTGATTGTTTAAACAACTTCAGTGTAGAGCAGTCTGCATATAAATAAAGTTCAAGAGCAAGTATTAATTCTTCATATTGTAAAACTTAAAGAAAAATGTTTACAACTTAGGAAAACTGTGTGCTGAATTGGATTATTACAGATACTGTCAAAGTTTTTTTCATTTTTCTTGTAGTGTGACTTTCACTCGAGTCTTAGCGTTACAGATATGCTTCACTATATCCTTTCAAAACAGACTGTTCTTTCAAAAGTGCAAATAAACAATTTGGTTAATGACTATTAATGATTCTACCTATGATATGAATTATATAGTCGTATTACAGTGTTTGGATAGTCCTTGATCAGAACATTTGTGTTAAGTAATTACAAGGCTAAGATGCCTTCTCCTTCAAAGGCTTAAATTATTGAGCATCAAGTAGTAAATAAGAAAGAGGGAGCTGTGTGAGGTGTGGGGAGCAGGAATAGGCAAAGATCTCTGAATGGCCAGTTGTTTTGATATGCATCATAGAGAAATTTTTAAAGGAGAACTGTAGTCAGTTTTACTGAGTGTCATGTGAATCTCTAAACAAGCACGAAGGAAGCAGCATTGACACAGTCTCAAAAATTCGCTTTGAGTTTAGGTAAGTATTTGGTATAGAAGCAGGCTGGAAAATCACGTTATATTCAAGTGCTGATGCCCTGATCATGACTGAGAATAGATATTATAGACATGGGCCATGGATAGCTTGGAAAGCAGAACAGTGTAGTTTGTCTTGCTAGGCAATCAGTAAAAGTAGAGACATCATAAAATGGGCTACGGAGAATGACCATGTTTTCTGTAATCCAGAAGGGAAGCTGCTGGAAAAAAAAGTGTTATTTTAATCTGCTTCATTGATGGCTAGAGGCATATAAGTGTGGCAAAAGAAAAACCGAGTTTTTAGAAGGTAGAGATATATAATTTGTCTGTTTAGAATGATGCTTACATTTGTGAATCAGAGTACAGGGAGGTAGGAAATGTAAAGAGAGAATCTTCAGAGAACCCTGTAAAATAGAAGAGACGAATTAAAGGTGCTCAAAGTTTGGGTGTGCTTGAAAAGACAATTAGGGAAATAGGAATGAAAACAGTAGAATAGAGATCAGGAGTGAAGAAAGATTAAAAGGTGATTATGGTTCACTGTTAGGGAGGATTTGAACATTTTTCTTTTTGAGCTGTAGCTAGGAGTGGGCTGTTAAAGATCACAGAATCATAGAATCACCAAGATTGGAAAAGACCTTCAAGGTCATCCAGTCCAACTGTCCAGCTATCACCAATATTTTCTACTAAACCATGTCCTTCAATACAACACCTGAGTGTTTCTTGATCATCTCCAGGGATGGTTACTCCGCTACCTCAATACAGGAGGTGTGTGGGCCTTTTGGAGCACATCCAGAGGAGTGCCACAAAAGTGAGCCAAGGAATAGAACACTTCTATGAGGGTAGGCTGAAAGAGCTGGGGCTGTTCAGCCTTGACTCTAGAAGGCTCTGAGATGACCTGATAGCAGTGTTTCAATAGCTGGAAGGGAGCTATAGGAAAGAAAGGGACATACTTTTTAGCAGGATCTGTTGTGAAGAAAGCAAGGGGAAATAGCCTCAAACTCAAAGAGGGTAGAATAAGGTTGGATAGAAGGAAAATGCCTTCTACTGTGAGGGTGGTGAGGCACTGGAACAGATTGCCTGGAGATGTGATTGATGCCCTGTCCCTTGTAGACTTTGAAGGCAAGGCTGTATAAGGCCCTGGGCTACCTGATTTAGCTGTGTATGTTCCTTTTCATTGCAGAGGAGTTGGAGTAGATGACCTTTAAAGGCCCCTTCCCACTCTTAATGTTTCTATGATTCCAGTGCCTGACCACTCTTCCAGAGCTCTTTCTTAATGTTCAGCCTGAATCTCCTCTGGCACAAGTTGAGGCCATTTCCTCCAGTCCTATTGCTAGTTACACGGGAGAACAGACCAGCCCCCACCTCGCTACAGCCTCTCTCAGGCAGTTGTAGATAGCAATAAGATCTCCTGTGGTGCTCGTCTTCTCCAGACTGAACAATCCCAGCTCCCTCAGCTGCTCCTTATAGGACTTGTGCTCCAGACCCCTCACCAGCTTTGTTGCCCTTCTCTGAACACGCTGCAGGCCCTCGATGTCTTTCTTGCAGTGAGGGGCTCAAAACTGAGCACACTACCTGAGGTGCAGCTTCACCTGAGCTGAGTGCAGAGGCCAACGACTTCCCTGCTCGTGCTGTCAACACTACTTCTGATCCAATCCAGGATGCCACTGGCCTCGTTGGCCACCTGGGCATGCTGCTGGCTCATGTTCAGCCAAGTGTTGACCAGCACCCCCAGGCCATTTCTTCTACACAGTCTTCCAGCCACTCTGCCTCAAGCCCACAGCACTGCTGGGACTTTCTGTGCCCAAGTGCAGGACGTTGCGCTTTGTCTTGCTGAGCTTCATCCCATTGGCCTCTGCCCAGATCCCCTTGTTGTACCTTTCTGTCCTCAGGCAGATGGATGCTTCTTCCCAGCTCGGTCACCTGCAAACTTACTGAGGGTGCATTCAGTGCCCTCATTCATCAATAAAGATACTGAACAGGACAGGCCCCATTACCAACCCCTGGGGAAAGATGGTCATGACTGGTCACCAGCTACATTTAACGCCATTCACCCCCACTCTCTGCGCCTGGCCCACCAGCCAGTGCTTTACCCAGCAAACAGTGTACCTGTGCAAGCCACAGGCTGCCAGCTTCTCCAGGAGAATACTGTGGGCGACAGTGTCAGAGGCTTTATTCAAGTTCTAGGTAGATTACAGCAGCAGCCTTTTCCTCATCTACCAGATGGGTCACTCAATCATAGAAGGAGATCAGATTGGTCTAGCAGGACCTGGCTTTCATGATCCCATGGTGGCTAGGCCTGATCCTCTGTGATCTCCCTCAAGATGATCTGTTCCATAATCTTCCCTGGCACTGAGGTCAGGCTAATGAGCCTGCAGTTCCTCAGATCTTCCTTACGATTCTTCTTGTTGATGAACGTCACTGACAAGTCTCCAGTTCTCTGGGACCTCTCCAGTTGACCAGGAATGCTGATAGAGGGTAGAAAGCAGCTTGGTGTAGATGCCCTTCAGCTGAGCCCCTTGCCTCACCTTTAATCCCATCATCATTCCCCTAGGCTTATCTCTAGCAGGCCTGGTGTAATCCACTTCTCCTTCATAGCTAGTTTAAAGCCTTCTCAGCAAGTACTGCCAGCTCCTGTATGAAGATCCATTTCCCCCTCTGAGACAGGTAAGACCCATCAGCAGACATCAGGCAGGTGTCGAATAAGCAGCCCCATGGTAAAACAAAACAAGATTCTTGTGATTGCTCTAGCTTCTCAGCCATGTATTTATAAGAAGGGTTTTCCTTGTCCTCGTGGTATTGCTTCCTGCTACTGGAGAGATAGAAGAAAGTATGACCTATATGCCCACCAACAGCCCCAATCCCCTGAAATCCTTTTTTAAGGTCCTCAGAAAAGAAAATGTTTGAAGTGCTTTTAAAATGGGTGTCAGGTAGAAATCTAGATATGGTGGAACAGTAGAAAAAATTGCAGACAAACTGAGAAGGTTGCATATAGTCAATTTAAAGATCAAATGAGTGAAGCAAAGTTGAAGCAGAGGAGTTAGATTTCACTGAAGGAAAAAATAAGAAACATATCTGTTGGGACCAGGAGGAGAATGAGGGTGCTGAGGAGGTGCAAAACAATCTGGAAATAGAGTCTCTGAAATCAGATGAAAAAGCAGATGAAACTTTTTGGTAATGCAAATAACAGAGAAAATACATTTTTTTAAAACAACCATCAGTCCTATTTCTTTTTAGTAAAAATAGGTCAGATCTTTTGAAACACCAAGATAGTTGAAAGTTTAAAAAGTGGAAAAGCTTAGTAATGGTTCCAAAAGGGTATATTTAAAGAAACACTTTATTTTACTATTCTTTGGACTTTGCACCTTCTATTGTTAAACATTACAATAACTGTGGTAATGATCTGAAAAAATAGTTGGTTGTTTTTTTAAATAATTTATTATTATTATTATTTTAATAATTTATAAAGAATATTTAATTGTTGTAATTTAAAGCTTAACATTTCAAGAAAAATTTTATTATCAGTAATGACTTGTATTGGTTTACAGAAGTTTCAAGATATTGAAGAAACTCATCTACTGCATATGAAAGAGATTATAGAATCATTGTCAAATACCATAAAGGATATTCATTTACAAATAGGAGAGGTAATTTTTATGTTATCATTTGTTTATTTGGCTTAAGCTATGTATTTTTTCTTAACCACTGAGCAGAACAGTCCTTACTGCGTTGTGGATCACATCTTTAAAACAGCAGTAACCTTTTAAACCATACGAAGACAAATAATAATAAAGCAGAGGATTTAAAATACTTTAAAGCAATTTTGGTTCTTTTTACCAAATATATGAAATGTGAATGTGTGCTGAACTCAGTTTTCATCTGTTTGAAGGAAATTTGAATGTCAAATAGCCATTGAGATATTTTGAGATCTGTGTATTTTCTTATTCAAGCATTTCTGAAATTTCTTACTGAGTGGATCACCTCTGATTTTGTTTATTGTACTGGAAATCTATTTTGTGTCTGAATTCAGCATGAACCAAAAACGTTGTGGCTTTCTGTTTCATGTGTAAGTTTGGGATCACAAACTTCACAGTATTCTCTAAAAACTTCCTAGGCTGAATGATCAATCATTGATTGAGTTTAATGCTAACAAAACAGAGATTTTGTTAGAGATTTTGATGATTTGAAGAATGTTTATTGTATTTCTAAGTCTTGTTCACTAGATACTAAATCAGCAATCACACATTTTCTTTGCCTAAAACTTGAAATTGTATCAGTCAAGAGCTCCAAAATGTTTTAGGTTTTTGTGTGCAAAAGGCCTTTGGTTTTAAAAGAAGCTTTTTAGTATGTTTTCTTTAGTAGCAAATTTTTTTAACTAATAATCCCTATTAAAAAATCTACATTCTTATGCGTTGCGGTGCAAGTTTATTTGAGTGCTCTTCATTTGAGTCTGGTTTTTTTTTCAGTATTCAGATTTTCTGCTCATGAATGGTAGTCACAAGGGTCATGTTATTTATTTCTAAGGCAAATACGTACTGCCTTGCTTGAAAAACTTATTAACAGCATGTGGTTGTTTTTTTGCCAGACCAAAAACATTAAAACAGTAGTGCTTTTACTGAAGCAGGTGGGACGTGTGATAATACAGCAGTAACTGTTCACACCCTCAACTGGTGCTGGCTTAAGGGACATCTTGTCTTCCTGACATTGTATGGAACATGTTGTTGACAAATTCAGAAAATGGTATGTAGAAAAGTAGCTTAGATAGAAGAGGTAGAAGTAAAGCCTATACCTGCCATCTAGCTATATTCTTTCATTCCCCGTTGGTGTCTGTATTGTACACAAATTTGCAACTCCTAAAACAATAAAGGGTTTTCCTTGATAAAATGCCTGCTAATTTTTGGAAGTTCTTTATTGTATTTTATAAGAAAATATTATGATATTAAAACTAGTGTTAAAACTAAACGCTACTTAAAGTAAAAAATTATAGTAATTAAAATAATCTAATTAAAACTCCCATTGTGTGGGGGGTTTTGTTGTGTTTGCTTTTTTTTAAGGTACATGAAGAATTTATAAATAACATGGCAAATACTACAGTTGAGAGTTTAATACAGAAATTTGCTGAGTCAAAAGGAACTGGCAAGGAAAGACCAGGTAAGAGATCAAATATGACAGAGAAGGAAATGTTAATTTAAAAGCTGTAGATTTCCACCCGTAACAAAAAGTCAGACTCTATTCGTGAAGTGTTATTGCTGGAAGGTTCTTATATTTTGAATTCTCAGGATTTGTTCTCTTTGATGTTAAATGTTTCAGAGAAATTTGATAGCGCATTACTATGCATTTGTAGGGCTTATGTTCATAAGGCATGGCAATTTGTAGCTCTGAGTCTCTCAGTGAGGCTTCTTTGAGGAAGCTTTTAAACTGCCCTGTTCCTTGATACAAACTTCTTTGTGCTGTATGCCTCTGCATAAAATTTATTTCAAAAATGTGATCCAAATTTACTGATAGATTCAGAGCAGATGTGTGTGAAGTTGGTTATAAAACTTCATAACCGTTGGTCTGGTTTCTTTGGTTAGCTTATAAAATCATGCTTTTTAATAGATTATGTTTTGGTGATTTGTTTCTTTACCTCGTATCAGATTGAGTAGTACTTTCTGAAAATATTGCTTGTTTGGTGTGTTGTATAAGGCTTTTCTCAGCTGGGAATAAAGACAATCTCTCCAAACTGTGCATGTAACATTATAGGAGAAACACTGAGTTCCGCTCAGTTTTCAGACTGTGTATTTGGTCACTAGTTGTGTGAGCACAGGAATTCAGTTTTGTTGTGCTGAGAGTCCTGTCCAGCATCATCAGTTTTTTTCAGAGCAGGGATGTGCACAGCAGTTTGTATTTTGAGCATTTTTACCAACTGTTGAATATGGTGACCAGAAATAATGTTGTTTCACATTCATTCTGTGATGCCGATATGCCAGTGGGCTGAGGTAAGACTGTGTGTGGAACAATTCTCAGATGTTTCCCTTGAGTCTTGTAACTTTTAGATAAAGAATAGGAAAGAAAAAGTACGTGCTTCAGGAGTTCATGTACAGTTGGACTGAGATTAAGATAAAGGTGAATGTTCAGTATTGAAGCCCGTTTGAGGAGCTGTGGTGATGTCATGCTTTGGCTGTCTTGCATTCAGGAACATGACTCCCTGGGTTATAAAGACCTGTGCTAACGTATTTCAAACCATACATGTCCTACAGAAAAACACACTAACAACAACGTAACAATCATAGGCAAAGTAGAACTTTATTTCTTGATTTGGTGGCAGAGGGAAGTTGCACATGCTGTGTGGCGTATTTGCTGCTTTGTAGATTTCATCAAATGCCGTTTGGATTCTCCTGAGTCAAATGAAAGCATTTACTGTGGCAAACGTCATTTTTTCAATTAGTATTTTAAGGTGGGAGCATATTTTTTACTGTGGAAACATTTGTATGCACCTTGAATTTTATTTATTTATTTATTTATTTTACAGAGTGAAATTGTTTTATTTATACCAACCTTGTTGCAGGGGGAGAATATTATCTAAAGAATCTAAATTCTAAACCTAAGTGTTAGAAATAGGAGACTGGAAACACAAGCTGCTATTGCTAAATTGTAGTCGTGTAATTCAGAGAATGAAACAGAAACATCCAGTGGGGGAGGGAATGCGTTTTCTTAGTTCAAAACATGTTTTTCCACAAGTAAGTGCTTTCTTAGTAGAAAGGTATTTTAACCCATGGAGCAAATACTGTAATTCTTTCCGTGATGTGTTACTTTGGAAAAGGAGAAGTCTTTTAAAAGTATTCACTGTATAAGAATGATAAAGACTCAGAGTACAGCACAAATGTAGAAAACAAGCCTTACGTCAGTTGCTTTTATGATTCTGGTCTGGAGTAATGATGAAAGGAATAATTTAATAGTCTTTGGTAGTATGTAGGCATTCTCTATCCAATATTGTTTTGAAGTACTGAATTAGTTGATGGAACACATTCTGAGATACTGAATATTAGAATAAATGTTATGCTTAATAAAATATTTTAGTTCATTTCAGTATATCGTGCTTGTAATTACAGTACCTTATAGCAGTACTTTCCTATTTCTGCAGATACAAGTATAAATATGAATCTAAGAGGAAGTACTATAGGTGGCTGTTTTATTGTGTGAATTATAAACAATTTATAATCTTTTTTTCTGACAATTACGGTCTTAAATTCTCATCAGCATATATGTAATTTCTCATTATGTGATGATGTCCCTTATACAGGATTATGTGGGCTCCCTCTGGTGGCTGATTTCTGTTATCTGAAGTCTTAATATGCAGAGACTGAAAGAGTTTAATGCACTGGTTTCGCAGTCCAAACATCATTTCTCTCTAAGAGTAATACTTTGTGAGTTTTTTGAACTTGTTTATGGACTTCCTTAGAAGGGCTTTTTTTTAATTGTTACCTAAGTAGCTTGTCCAGTGAGCTTTATCACCTAATTCTTTCTTAATCTACTTCAGATTTATTTTAAAAAGAGCACAGTATCTGAAGTTCTATTTATTATTTGTTTTCTACTCTTATTCAGTGTTAAAACGTTAAGTTATAAGAAAAATCACTTCAGTGTAAAACTTTGATGAAGAGAGAGAAATGTCAGGACCTTCAGTAAGCAGTCAGACTTGTGTTCAGAATTTAATACATTTTCTGAAATTTATTTGTTCCTACTATTAGGCCTAATAGCAGATTTGAAGTTGAACTCAGTTGGCAGATACTTTTGTCTTGCACTGTTTATCAAAACCGTTGCTGCCTGCTTTACATGAATCTATTTTCCATTTGAGATAAACTGCTGGTTCGTGTTCTTTGGAAAATTTGTTCATGACATGTCAGAAAATGTCTGTTTTCAACTAGATGTTAAATTGATACTGGGAGTCTATGTAAATTCCATATTTGTGGAATGTATTTATCCCACAAATAATACATTGTGCCAGATTTGTGATATATCGTTGACTTCATTTACTTAATATGCTTACCTTCTATAAGAAAATTGGTTTGTTCCAGAAGCAGAAGCTTCTAGGAAGCATGATCTCATATTCTTTCCAGACTTTTTGTCCGAAATTGTCAGGATAATACATACTATGTGTAAAGATAAAGTCTGTATAGTAGATAAAGTCTATATAGTTAGTCATTAATGTTTTTCCATTTTTATACTGCTCTCATTTGTACAAAACCGACTGCATATGTTTGTGCCTGTATTAGATTTTGCTCACTACATATTTTACCCAGAGACTTGCTTTGAGAGCCAGAAGACAAGACAGCTGTACTGCATTGTCCAAACAAAAGCTAAATTTAGCTTTCTTTCATTGGTTTATTCTGATCTTATTGTTAGCGGTTGTTGGTAGTTTATTGAGTTATTGTTCTTATTTTTGCAATTTTCTTAAAACTGAATAAAGAGAAAAACAAGAATTGTATTGTAATGCAGACAACAATGGAAAGCCAAAATCCTTGCTGGCTGCATAACCATCCAATAAAATTATCCACAGATGGCAATTACTACATATGCTGTGCTATTACTTAGGGTGAGAGAGGTGCTCATCTCTTCACTATAAAAAAGAAATATTAATTGGTCCTCTACTAGTTTGTGCCATCTTGCTCAAAGTCAGAATTAGCTTGAACATGATTTTCTTTCCAACTCTGTGTCCTAACCCATGTGAGCAGGCAGTGAAAATCTGACAAAGAGAAATCAGCCGCTTACACGTTGTGCTCTAACTCTTCCAGCATAAACATCTAGAATTTATTCTGTGAAAAAAGCAAAGTCTATAAAGATACTTCTCATCTGTAAAAATACTTCTTTCACTTACTATTCACCCAATGACCTAGAACTGAGGAGGGATTAGAAATCTGCATTTCTGAAGTATTGAAAAATTGGTGCCTGCAATCCGTCCACTCTTTCTACAGAAGTAATTGAGAATATTCCCTGTCCACAGTTGCTGTGGATCAGCCATCACTGGCTCTTGCACATTTTCCTTGTCCCACTCGGCATTTTAGACACTGGCAATAACAACCTAAGTTCTTTTAATTAAATGATTCTTCCATAGATAACAAGATTCAGAAAGGTCAGACTTGTTGTCTTTGCTCCTTTTTCTTCCTTCAGCAGTGCCAGAAACTCCAAATTTGGGCAGTAATTGAATAGTAATCTAAGTAAGTTAATGTTTGATGTGTATCTTTTTGGAACTAGTGAAATCTACTTTGCTTTATTTACCACTGCAGAAAAAAAAAAGTTCTTTAGTCTCCTGGATCTTAAAGTTCCTGGTTACTCCAGTCATCAGGAAGTTTAAGTAGCAAATGTAGGCATTAATTCAGGCTACATATATTTTTAAAAATCATTTTGAAATTTGTCTCTCAGGGAAGGCTTTCAAGTAGTGCAGAGTGACTTATTACAGCTATCATGGCAAAATTATCAACACCACTAACGGTGGAGAATATCAGAAGTGTGTGTTTGCCAATGTGCTGGTGATCCTTGCCTGATCTGGGAGCTCTGATTCTGGATCGTTAGCCAAGTTTGTATCTTAAAGTCTTAAAAAAAGTAATCATTTATTTAGGTATGCTGCTCCTGCTGGAAGCATTGTGGGAATTTCAGAGACTACAAAACTGTTGACAAACCATTATGTTTACTGCTTGGATTGTAATCAAAGCAGTTTAATCTGGATTCCTTACAAGCTCATTATTGCCGCTGGCATTGCCTGTTACCAGAATTGTACAGCATCAAAGCTTCAATTTAGTAAACATTTAAAAAACAAATTTTACATAGGCTTTAATTCAAGTGATTCAGTTAACTGAACTGGGTTGTAGATCGTTTGATGTTTTATGTTGCTGTCTATTGGCTACGGTGGAGATTAGTGCAAAGCTTAAGTGGAGTTTATGACATGCTATTAGGCCTTCAGCCATTGCTTACATGGACATTTTAAACCTAGATGCCTGTGAAGCACTACCTAGTTATTTTTTTCACAGTGATTGCAGAGTATTGAAGTGAGTTGCACTAGAGCTGCAAAACTAGTGCAAAGTAATTGAGCATTAATTGAGCATAGTATAAATGCAGAGTTTTGCTAACTTCATATTAACCTTAGGTTAGTATTTTGTGTTAAACTACATACTGCA